TGAGATAAGAATATGCTTTAATGTTAATCGGGAATGTGAGCTATAATCATGCCAAATTTCAGCCCAATCCGTCCAGTAGTTTATGCGTGATTGAGCAACAAACACACACACAAACACACACACAAACATACACACAAACTCACAAACTTTCAGATTTATAATATTAGTAAGATTTAAAAAATTAATAACTCAGCTGTTTGTTGTCCGATCTTTAAGATCTATGTCTCATTTGATTTGGCATAACATTTCCTACATTTTGTTATTCTTGTGTTTATTTGTAACTCTAGTGGTTTTCATGTAATTTGAGGTCAAAGATTTTAGATGGCCGCCATTTTGAAACGGCTATAGTCAACGAAATGAAATTTTGCATGTTTGTGTACCACGTTAAAATACACAAGTGTGTCAAATTTAAAGTTTTTACCTCGATTCAAACTCGAGTTATAAGGTTATTTATAAAAAAACACATACAGACAGACAGACGGAAAACGAGGCTCCGGCGACCCATGTTTATGATGTAAAATATTCATGTATTAATCCAAGGAATAATCCTGTGAATTTTGTCGAGAGAGTTCACAAACACCCTGTATAAAGAAGGGAAAACCAAAAAATATAAATACTGTAATATAATTATTTCCATCAATATTTTTAGTCTACAGTAATTATCCAAGAATCCCTCACAATTTGTGTCCAATCTAGAAATTCTCCCAAAACTATGCGGCAATCATTATTTCGAAATTCACAATAGTTTGTACAAAATCAAGATATCTTCTTCCACCGAGGCAATTTGCTCAACAGTTGGAGGGCTTTATTGAACCTGGGGATCAGTAAGCTGATGCTACGGTTCATGAAAGGCATTCAAAAAGTGAAGGCGGCTGCAAAAAGTGAAGTCGTAAGGCGAACTCATGTTGTTGTAGGGGGAGGGGGGGGGGAGATGCACGTGTGTTCCCAGGGATTGAAAGACCCGGATGTGCAAGGTAAAGGCCCCAGTCTCTGGTTACCGAGATCTGTGATTAGCCTAAGGCCAAGAAGACACTGCCCCCGACCGCACCGCCACCGACTTGTCTTTATACTCTGCCGTTAGGGTAACGTGAGGTTGAAAAGTCCTTGTGGTGAGTTTAGACTGAAATTCTTGTTCAATACCACTGAAAATTGGGGAAAGTTTTCATAAAGGTTGGGACTTGGATTTCCACCAGAGATTGACATAAGGCCAAGAAGACACTGCCCCCAACCACTACCACCACCGACTTTTCTTCACATTCAGAGGGTCTGATAAGCTTCAAAAGCTTTTTTTTTTGTGTTGTATAAAATCTGACACTTACATTACAAACGCACTGAATATTTTGAAAAGCCTCGGTTTCCAGATTCTAGTTTTTAAATCAAAACTCACAACTGGCAAGTAGCTGCCGTCATAAGTTGTATTGGTCGTTAGTTGCAGGCCTTCAAGTTTTTTGTCTTTGGTTGTCCATGTTCATTATAGTGACGTTATATATATAAAATATATTTCCTTTATTTCTCATCTAGTAGTAACTGTATGAAAAATATAATAACACGCGTGCAAACTGCCACAAGCACTGCCAAAGTGCCACCTCGCCCAATAGTTACACAAATAACTATTGTTTACTATGTTTATAAAACCCCTTTTTTCTCAGCTCCTGTGCATCGCAGGGAACATCTACGCATACTGTTAGAAGGATGTGCCAGTAGATGTGTAGAATCCCTTTATTAATTAAAACAGGCTATAAAATAAGAAAAAAAATTACAAATAAAAAAAATAACATGGGCCTTATGGTTTGCCATGTTGGTGACGAAATAACAACAAAATATATACAGAAAATCAAAACAAATTGATTAAATTACAATCACATGTTTTATTTACAGCGTGGGGTGAAAATAAATAAGTTTGCACAATACATACTTTTGATCGAGTTTTTGACGACGGGGCGAGCTCTAGTCTATGTATTCAAGTCTATGCCATCGATGTATAATAGAGTTATTATACATCGATGGTCTATGCAAGCATGTTTCTTTACAATCTTTTTTTCAGCTCGTGTACATCGCAGAGAAAATCCACGCATATTTTCAGACAGATATTTTCCTGTAGATGTGCAGAATCCCTTTGTAAATTAAAATAGGTTCAAATAAAGCACAAAAAATGAATTTAAAAATAAAAAATGTACATAGACCTTATGGGTTGTCATGCTGGTGACAAAATAGTAACTAAATATAAACAGAAAATCAAAACAAGTGGAAGAAATTTCAATCACATGTTTAATTACAGCGTTGGGTGAAAATTGAGAAGTCTGTCAATTCGTAGTCAATTTTTCGACCACTGGACGTCTATATTATTAAAAGAATTTGTTGGATTTTTGTGTGCAGCAGATCGACCCCTAAATATTTATTTTTATAGGCGTATCGGGTATCAATTTAAATTCTTATCTTCTAGATGAGCCTTTTGCGGGTTTGGATTATATCCCATGAAAGCCCTTATTTGTTCTATAGGATTTTAAAATGTCATAGTTTGTGCTGAATTCCGTTGTCAATCATCTGAACCTTTTTAAGTTTACATTACTTTGTTGACACATTTGTTAACGTACATGTTAAAGTACATTTGTTAACACCAAAACATATGGCCATGATACAATTTTGGTGTTATTTGTAGTTGGTGATGTTTCAGTGAATTCTAATAAAATGTTGTAATGATATTTGTATAAAATGTAAAGAAGAAAATGATTTACATTAGATATTGTGTTGTATGAGGGTTTTATGTTTTCATAATATGTTTTGTTGATGTTTTAGGGAATTCAAGTTAATATTGTAATACTATTTGTGTTAAATATATATAAGAAAATGACTTACGTTACATTTTGTGTTTTAATAGTATGTTCCATTTGTATCCATAGTATTTGTAATTTTTCTAAGATGCTTCTAAGAGATCGCGCATGCAATGAAAATGATAGGGGTCGCAATCCAATTAATATGATTATGAGATATAATCGCTTTCACCCTTATCAACTATATACCAAATATATCACGGATTTTTAAGTCACGAAGGGACGCAGGTTGCTAGTAATATCAAATGGCTTTTATATATAAACATAAATAAACATACAGGGATAAGGCTTGCTGAGATTGTCTAAGCCTTATGGAACGTTCGCATTCCCTTATTATAAGGGATGGATATCTAACACTTTCTAGGATATTCCGTCACCCCTAGTACGTTACGTGTCGCAAGAGCCTGAGAACGAGAGCCCACGACCACGCCTTCACTTCCTCTGCCATTCATGCCCTCTTGTGTCTTGTCTGGTATAAAGAGCAGGTTTTTGTCCGTTGTCCCAAGACGTTGGTTTGTCGGTTTATCCCGACTCTTGAGAAGGCGGAGCTGCTTCAGACCTGTCAAGACGCCGGTGTAATGTTAATTTAGGGTCTTGGGCTCAACATACTGGCTGTCTTATTCGTAGCGTCTTCGTCGTTTTAAATTAAAAGCTTTTGTCAGCGCACTTATTTACAAAAGGAATCTATGGATCTATAGATGGTTAAAAGATGGTATGTAGCTTTGCAGTTAGCATATCAAATTCAGTGCTTGAGGTACATTAATTGCGCCAAGCTATTAAAGAGTCCCAAAAAATTTTCCTTGGTTGCACCAAGTCCAAGCCGAATTAAAACTTGGTTTATGTTAACTTGGTTATATTTGAAGAAAGTAAATTACTTTGGTTGGTAGGTGTGCCGGCAGAAGGTATGTCAATGTTTACGTCATCCTAATCTAACCTATCCTTACCTGACCGAACATACTCAATTATACAGTTAAAGAGGCCAGCAACTTGGTGTAGTTAAGGAACGTATTGGGTGGTTCCCTGGAGTAGTTGGCGCAATTCAGGAATACCCAATTACTCAGGTCAGTTTGCGCAATTAATGCCCGCCCACTGGAGGGAAGGAGGTAGATTCGTGACATGTCCACAAACATTTGAGTGGTGTGTATCCCTTCCCCCTGAAGCTTAAATTACTTTTACGGAAAATACTACTAAGCGGAGGATGTAGACAATAAAATGATCTTTGGTGTGCTAAATCGACTGACTTGTACACGGGTACTAGTTTGAACATACTTACCTTCATAAATGTGTATAATAATGTTTGGTTACTGAAAATGGTAGATGGGTAGTTGTAAAGTTCAATTATCAATTATTGAAGATGGGGACGCCACTATCAGCGTATTTTAACCCAAAAATGAGTGAATGATGAGTGTAGGATGAGTGTCACGATCTTGTAGTCTTGTTAGTGACTAAGGCCGACCTGTTCCTTAGACACAGCTGTTAATTAATAGTCCATACAGCTAATGGCAACTAAGGGACCTACAGTTGAATCCGAGCCATATTCTTTCCTTGTAATTAACGAATTGGTCTAATTATCGGGATAGTACTACAGATCGTCGTAGTACTTACTATTGCGGACGTTAATCCACACCAGGAAGTATCTCATCCATAATGCATGCCTAAAAATATCCACAATTCGTGACCTCCTATATAGTAGTTGGGACAGGACGACGCAATTGTCCCAGTATTGTAACTAAATGAGAATTGCAGACGACCCGTCATGCGTAGTGTTGAGTTTCGAACTTCGATGGCTCTTCTCAAAGATTACCTATTAAGTATTTATAGTAGATAGCCTTTTGGTATGCATTATTAAGAGCCCTTCTTATGTACATTATAACACTCTTCAATTAAATAAATTGGATTATTAGGATGCGATTAACTAAGGCAACGCTGGTTATTGGATAAAAACCGTCCATATTTGGTTAGCTTATCACGTGGCACCACGAAAGACAACGGTGTCTGTGTAACGGAAATATATTTTGGAAAATGAATTTGGACAAAAAATGTGTTTCTACAACTCAAATGCAAACATGAACAACTATTGCGTGAGAAGTTTTGTATGAGAATGTCGCGTTTATCTACACGTTAAAACAGATAACGGAGTGCGTTTATCAATTAATGATATCTATAACTATGTCTTCTCAAGAGGACGTTTTAGATTGTAATATGGAACATAGAATCGCTTTTACCAGTCATGTGAAAAGTATACAGTGTTTAATGTGGTTTGAAACTGTTAAATTGTGTCAGTTTTAAAATGACTTGGGAATTAAATGTAATTTATTTGTCAGCTCTTTTCATTCTATCGTATTTATTATACTGGTATCTTACTAAAGAGTATAACTACTGGAAGGATAGAAATGTTCCATTTATAAAGCCAAGTGTTCCTTTTGGAAGTGCTAAAGAACAAATGATGAAAAGAAGTTCCTGGATTTCATTCATCAACCAGTTTTACGCCAATTTCAAACATCAAGGATTCGGCGGAGTGTATTTTGGAAGACGACCATCATTTTGGGTATGCGATCCGAAGCTAGTCGAGCACATTTTGGTTGAAGATTTTGCACATTTCCACGATCGATGGAGGCAATCGCCAAAGTCAGAAACAGCAGAGGGAAACACCTTGATGTTTAGCCAGGGAGAGAAGTGGCGCTCTCTTAGACTGAAACTCTCTCCAGCATTCACCTCTGGCAAAGTCAAGGGAATGTTCCAACAGATACTATCCAGCACTGACAATTTTATACAGAGAGTTGTAAGCTCTGACCATCAAGACGGTGTTGATGTTGAGTCTTTAACTACAGACTTTGCCACCGAGGCGATGGTCAGCTGCCTGTGCGGAGTGCAGATGTCAAATTCTAAAGAAGCGGTAGAGTTCAACAAAGCACTGAATATAATTTACAAACCAACGCTACGTAGAAACATTGTCTTTACTCTGTATAGCATTTTCCCTACAAAGTTATTTAAGTTCATTGGGATAAGAGGAGCACCACATGAGGCAATAGACATTCTAAAGGGGGTTGTAAAGAGTATCTTGAACTATCGAAAGAGAAGTGGTGAAAGAAGAAATGACATCCTTCAAACAATGTTTGACTTGAAAGAGCAGGAGGAGAGTGAATATGGAAAAGAAGAGATCGAAATTATGTTTTCTAGCAAAATCAAAAGGTTGTTGAAACAATTAATGGTTAAAGACCCAGAGCCTACTAAACAATTCACCGAAGAAGCTATAGCTGCACAAATTCTGGGATTCATGTCAGCAGGGATTAAGCCAATTTCAGTAACTGTTACTTTCGCGCTTTTTGAAATCGCTAATAACCCGTCAATCCAAAACAAGCTGCACAAAGAAATTGACTCAGTCATGCTCAAGCATAAGGATTGGAACCTTGAAGCTCTCAGGGAAATGACCTTCCTCGACGGAGTGGTCCAAGAAACCCTTCGCGTGTATAGCGTGAACGTGCTTTTGATGAGGGCAGTCAATGAAAAATACAATTTACCAGGAACTGAGGTGGTTCTCGAGAAGGACATGCAGGTTTTTATCACTTCCGACGCACTTCATAAGGACCCGGACTTGTATCCTAGTCCCCTGGAGTTCCGGCCGGAGCGTTGGCAAGGTAACAACTACAGAACTTCTTCGACCTACCTCCCGTTTGGACATGGTCCCAGGATATGCATCAGCATCCGCCTGGCCGTGCTGACGGTGAAGCTGTGTCTGGCGAGGGTGGTGGCTCAGCATGACCTCAGCATCTCACCGAAGATGACCCTTCCTCTGCAGTTTGACAAAAATGTACACTTCAAGGCTAGAGATGGCGTCTGGTTGAGGTTTAGTAAAAGAAAATCATAAGTGATAGTTCGGTATTTTATCATGTGTAAGTACGATAAATCGAAAAATAACAACAGTAATTACTCACGAACACTTAATTTTAACCTAATGAACCAAATGTGTTAATTAAGATCTAGTTATGTCTATACTTACTTGATTATCATATTTTTGTATTGACGTTTGTTATTTATTTTCTTACTGATGGGTATATTTTCTTGTATTGCCCTTGTAAATTCCATTATACTGTACAAGCAGAGTACCAGTCCTTCGTACGGGGTTGGCGTATAAGTATAAAATGCTTATTGCAGTTATACTCGTGCTTTGGGTTTGCAATAGGAGAGAACACGGTAAATGTTGTTCTTTTAATTTACGGGATGCTATAGTATAGCACATCTACCATAGCCATATTGTTCTACCACTGCACCAAAACAATGAAAGAGTGTAATAATCATTTTTCACAGATTTTTGTAGCTAGTTGGTTCAAACATTTCAAATTGGATGTTGTCATAAATGCAAAAGAAATGTAATAGTGCTGCATCCTGTTAGTAACCCTTATAACTTTTAATGCTAATTAAATATCAATCATAGAACAGGCTAAATACGAAATCCAAATTTCGTACATTAACAGCTGTGTCTAAGGAAAATGTCAGCCTTAGTCACTAAATACCCCCGCCGCAGCAAACCTGCAGACTAAGCGAATTTCCATTTGCCTGATTGGATTTACACTAAAATGTCTCCTTAAAAATATCACATTTATTCCGTATTTAAATAGAATCAGTTTAACACATACTTAGGTTTGCTGCAACAGGGAGGGTAAAAGTGTTTTTTATGTAAAATGTTAATAGTTAGTAAGAAATAAAAACATTTTCCAAATTTGGGCAAAAAATGTTAATAAACAAGCAAACTACAACAGTTTACTTATTCTCCATAAGAATAACATGGGAATTTTAAATTTAAATTTTTTTGAAATTTTCTCCGTAACCATTAGGTGGATTATAACGCTTCAATATACTAAATTATTTGTTTTTTTAAGCTCTACAAAATAGTTTGGAAAGAAATTTCAAAATTTTATGGTTTTTGAGTCAAAAGGTGGAAAAATCCATTTTTACCCCATAAAACCCCCCATAAACCCCCGTTCCCATGGTCCGATCATGCTGGTTCGCGAACTCGTTCGAATAAATATAGGTTTACACGTTTGTACCAAATTTCATCAAAATCGGATCGTTTTTGCTCGAGTTATCGCGCTAACGGACACATATATAAATATATATATATATATATATGAATTTGAACGGATGGTGTTTTTGGCCTCTAGGGACCTCAAAACGAAAAAAAAATCGGTCCCGGGTCCAGGTCTTACCATGAGTACTACGGTAATAGCTTATTCCCTATATGGGAAATTCGCTAAAAGACTAAAAGATCTCGCCACTCATCCCACACTCGTCCTTCACTCATATTTGGGCTAAAATACGCACATCGTGGCGTCCCCATCTTAAATAATTGATAAATGATAATTGATTGCTAATTGATAATTGATGCAATCATGAAACCATCGATGGAAATTATGTATGGGAATTTTGACCGGGCTCATAATGGTATTCTACAGTCCCGAATTTTGACACCAAATACAGCTGAGGTTTAATGATTTCCTCAAGCATGCACGTTTCAGCTACCTACAAAACACCTCAAATGAGAAATCCAAATGCACAGTCACTCATCATCACATCATCCCTCTCCAGTCATCTCCAATCTCGATCTCATCGTGTCCAGGAAGCGCCCTAAGATGGCGGGGTGGTGGGGGAGGGTGGCGCAGGTATGGTTGCGCCTGCGCAGGTACCCTTTATTGTGATTGCGCCGCTGCACACAAAAACACAAGTGCCTACCTCCGGTGCTGGTTTCACAGGTGTACTCAACACTCACAGTACCGTGTAGTCTTCTGTTATGTAATGATGAGTGACGTAGGGCTCAATGCACCCCCGACGGTTAGGGGCTATTGTTCCTCAACATTTAAATTTCATATTAATTTTGGATCCCTTGTAGCTGTGTTTGATTAGTTTTTATGTTACTTGTTTTTCCCCTGTACACATATTATCATGGATTGTTAGACGATTTCAATGTATCAATGATGGTTTTGTTATATTTTATTTAACTAATAAGTGCAAAATAAAATGGTTGACTAGTTTAAATATTCCGTTTTATTACCAACCTGCTTCAAAAGAAGTTTTTATTTGAATAATATTGAATAAGGATAGCATTCAGACAACTTTGCAAATGAACTATGAAAGTCCGAGCTTGTGGTATTACTAACAAAGGTTTTTTTAGTGTAGAATGAGCTGTTACCCATTTAATGCCACTGCAATATATGACTATTTACTATTTGATACATAAGTCTATACGAACTATAGATACAATCTATAGTCAAAGATATGACCAATCATTATTATGGTGAAATTAATACAAACACAGTTGTTAATTTTTTTATAGTAGTACACATTAAGCTACCAACTAAACATTTAAAAATTAAAACCTTTGAAATTATTTTTAAATTTAGCCTAATATTTTATTTCATTAATAAAGAGCAAAATTAATGTCCATAAAAACCATCCTAAATATTATTATTATGATTTGAGATATCACATATATTTTAGTATTTTAATTTAACCCATTAACTAGTAAAGTATGAATGTAAAATGGAGGGTAATATTATTCGGGTAGCAAAAATACTTTGATCTTCTGGGTCAACGCCTGAATAACCCAAGTTAACCTTTTTAGAGCAGTTTATTGAAATCAATTTTAGTTTATAAGCTATCCTGATAAGCATTCTCTCCCTGAACTTCCCAAAATAAGTCTAATAAATTTTAGATTAATTTAATTCAGCATCTATTTCCTCTTGCGTGACAAAATTGTATAATTGAGATTGGGCCTAATATTGTATCATTATGTGAAAAAAAATCCGGTAATAATATATTGAGATTTAATCAACTACGAATCTAATGATTATTACTAAGTGACTTTTAATTGAATCATTGCCTTGTTACTTTAACATCATGAAATAAATACCCCCCGTCGCAGCAAACCTGCAGACTAAGCGAATTTCCATTTGACTGATTGGATTTACACTGAAATGTCTACTTAAAAATATAACATGTATTCTCTATTTAAATAGAATTAGTTAAACTAGTACTTAGGTTTGCTGCATCAGGGAGGGTAAAACTGTTTTTTTTTTCGTAAAACGTTAATAGTTAGTAAGAAATAAAAACATTTTCCAAATTTGATCAAAATATGTTCATAAACAAGCAAACTACAATTTACTTATTCTCCATAAGAATAACATGGGAATTTTAAATTTACAATTTTTTGGAATTTTCTCCGTAACCATTAGGCGCATAATAACGCTTCAATATACTAAATTATTTGTTTTTTTAAGCTCTACAAAATAGTTTGGAAAGAAATTGCTAAATTTTATGTTTTTTGGGTCAAAAATGGGAAAAACCTATTCTTACCCCATAAAACCCCCCGTAAACCCCCGTTCCGATGGTCCGATCATGCTGGATCGCGAACTCGTTCGAATAAACGTAGATTTACACGTTTGTACCAAATTTCATCAAAATCGGATCATTTTTGCTCGAGTTATCGTGCTAACGGACATATATATATATATATATGATTTTGAACGGATGGTGTTTTTGGCCTCTGGGGACCTCAAAATGAAAAAAAAATCGGTCCCGCGTCCAGGTCTTACCATGAGTACTACGGTAATAGCTTATTCCCTATACGGGAAATTCGCTAAAAAAATAATTTTACTTGTGTTTAATCACCATGTTTCAACCCGTAGTATCCCTTACACCCCGACCTACCCCAGCAGGCGCTGTAAGGGTGAGTTTAGGGTGCAAGTCATGACGTCATGACTCATTGGTCAGACCGGATGTCGTTAGACCCGCAATATCAGTCATCAGTCATTGATAAACAACTTCTTGGAGAAGATTTGCATTTCGGGAAACTTTTGATTCGACAGGAAGCTCTTTGTGTGACAAAACTATCCACTTCATGATGACCAACTTCATGCACCAACTTGTTACTTTGCTCATTTCCGTTACTAACAAGAAATATATTTACTGAAGTGGTTTATTGTCTGTGACATAAATATTGGTATGTAATACTGTAAACCACAATCTGACTACGACGTTAATTTACGGAACATATTTGAAAAACTGTATAGTTATTCATACAACATAATAAATAATCTTTTTTAAAGCCCGATACTATTTTAGTTAACAAGATATTTATTTAATTTAGTCGTTATCCGTTTAACCGTTTCCACATAAAAAAACAGGGTTGATATTTTGATTTTACAATAGCTAGAAATAGTCTATTTGCACTGTCTAAAGTCAATAATGAAACCTCATTTTAATAATAGCATTAAGTATATTTTATTTCACAATTTCTATCTATATACAGGGTGGGGCAATGAAAGCGCCCCAATTTATAAGCAGTACAAACTCAATAATATTCACCCTATGGATATAAATAGCACACCAAAACACAGCTTATCTTTTGCCATTTTAACTTAACAAAGTCATTTTTCCATTTCTTGAGAGCGAAATCCTGCAAGTGACGTCCTTGTCCTACTTGACATTAGGCACTTTATCAAATACTCCTCCAGCATTTCTTCAGGAATCACTTTAGTTTTTGGACAATTCTTAGCTTCGGTTCAAGCAAATCTGTGGGGTGACTTTTAAAAACTTCGAACTTCAAGTAGCTTATTAGAAACCCCCCCCCTTCCAAAAAAAGGAGCCAACGTAAAGCTTTCAACAACAGCTTCCTGGCAAATCTCTTTGGACTTTGAGTTACTGCGACTCGCACTCTTTCAACATTTGCTGGTGTACAAAGAGTTTTGCGGCACCCACCGATTATTTTTAAGGTTTAAGTGTTTATCCTAAATAATTTTACCCAGTTCACCATTGTTTTCCAATCTGGAACAGTGCCATGTTGAACAAGGATGGAATGTGGTCCAAACAATC